TGGTTAAAGGAGCATCTAGCTTGTCCATAGTCAAGTATTTGCATTTTTTTTTAAGTTTCCATGCATAAAAGTGGATATTTTCCCTACCCTATGAATCTAAGAAATAAATACAACCCCCCCCAAACAAGAAATAAGTACAAAAAAAGATTAATTTTTTTATTCAAAACGTATCCCCACAAGGATGATCAAAAATTCTAAGGCATTTCAGCCAGCTGAGATCTCCTAGCTATCAAATGCTTGCTCAATGTCAGTAGAGGGACATGGTAAAGAAAGCCCCCTCCCCCCATTTCTGATCTGGAAGGCCTGGTTCTGATTTCTCATGCTGCCACTTACTAGCCTGGTGGATTTATGTAGGTTAATTTGTTTCTCTGTGTCTTAGTTTACTCAATCTTACAGAATGGCCATGGGGCTCTAATAACTATTGTTTTGCCTTTTTGGGGGTGGGATGACAGCAGGGGTATCATTGCTTGCTTTTCTGACTGTTTCAGTAGTTAGGGTCATTATCAGGGTACTTCTCCTGCTACAGCCACCCTTTGGTAAGCTAATCTGTGGGGAATGAGTTCTAGGATTCCCAAGATATCAAAATCCTGGATGCTCACATCCCTTATACAAAATGGTATGCTTGCATCTAACCATCACACATTCTTTCCTACACTCCAAATCATCTCTATGATAGTGGTACTGATACAAATGTTATATTCATAGTAGTTATATTGTTTAGGGAATAATGATAAAAGAAAAAGTTGGTACATGTTTAATACAAATTCAATTTTTTTCTGAATATTTTTGATTTGCAGTTCGTTGAATGGACAGATGCAAAACCCATGTGTGGAAGGCCAACTCTATGTGGCAAAAAATGAATTGCCTCTCATAGGTCTCAGAGAGGTAACTGAGAAGCATTTGGTGTGCTTTGTGGTTTGTGACAACTCAAGCAGGTACTCCTAGTTATTTAACATAACTCAATAGGTTTAATGTCCATTTTAATTGTCTACTTGTAAGCATTTTTGTTCTCCATGCAGTTTAAAGAACTGGGTTTCATGACTGATAAATACTCTTATTATACAGTCATTATGGTTTCAAATTCTGGATGATGATTCTCTTGACTAGTTCAAAAAGTTTTCCCCATGGGAAAAAAAATTGATACTGATTCAATAAATTTTTCCTGAATACCTATTGGCAGGTACATTGCTGGGCATGTGATAGATGGATGCAAAAATAAAAAAAATTTAAAAAACCAAGTGAAACAGGACTTTTAGCTCCAAGGAATTTCTTCTCTAGTTCTATGTGGTACCCAGGTCAGCAGGATCAGCATCATCTGCAGACTGGTTAGAAATGTAAACTCTTGGGCCCCACTCCAGGTCAACTGTCTGTCTGAATAAGCCCTCTGCAAAGATCACCCTCCTCAAATGTCAAAGCAACACATCTATCATGAGCTCAAGGAGCCAAATCATAAAGTATCTTTGTCCTTTTGAGGAAACAGGGGTCTCGGGGCCACATGAGAAATTGATGGCAAAATTGCAATCAAAACTCAGGTCTCCCACCCAAATGGCAACTGCTCTTTCTACTTCTTTTCTGGTGCTTCACTGTGTAAATCTGATGGGGAGCTCCATGTATAAACTAGCCCCAAAAAGGCAAACACTGATTTTCAGAGAGAAAGAGAATTAGTACTCTTTGAAATAGGGCCACTAATAAAAATTAAAAGGTGATCTATCAAAATCATCCAGTAAACTAGAAGTAATTTCCCAAACCTTTAATATATATCCAATTTCTATTTATAAGATTTGAAGATTCTGTGGGGGAAGGGTAGAAATTCAATGAAGATGTGACTAATATCTAAAAGAATGTACAATTCAAAGAAATGTTAGTGATGGTTCATCATCTGTGGGAATTACAGAAAATCTTTCTCTTTTTTTTTTTTCTTTTGTATTTTCCTGAATTTTTCCCAATACCAAGATACTACTTTTATATTCAGGAAAAGAAAAAGAAGGAAAAATGCTTTTGGAAATGTTATAGCTATATCACTCAATATGCAGATTTATTTTGTATTTTGTATTTCTGTTTCTTTCCATACAGCAGGATAATGTGTATGTAGTAATTATTTATATCATGCCATATGTTACAGTGAAGATGAGATTCAGTAAATATATTCCTTCCAGCTAGCCCTCAAAATAAAGAGGTTAAATGCATTCCTAGGTTCAAAGCACTAAGAATTAAGACAAACTAACTGAAGCTAAAGGAAAAAAAAAATAATCCCAGTACTGAGATCTCAGAGCACATCCCTTTTCAAAAGCGTTTATGTGACACATGGCTCCTTATTCATATCTCTCTGATGCTTAACCCCTGGCATAAAATGAAATGTTCAGCAATTCCTGGCAAAGTCTTCGGAGTTCAGGGGATAAAATGCATGGGAGAAGATCGGAGAGATAAGAAACAAAATGATCCTACTTTCACATAAAATTCAGTCCCTGAGGGACAATAAGACATTCGAAATTTCTGGCAAATTCCAACATCCAAAATATCTTTTATGTTTTTCTTTTTCAAGAAATGTTTGCTCACTTAAAATATATTTAGTTGGCTATTTCATCCACAAATCACAGATAAATAAGTTGGACTCAGCTGAAGAAACATTTCTTTCACAAAAGCATTGTCATTTTTGGAATTTTTCACTGGATAAGACATATTGATTGCCTCAAAAAAAGACTAACATTGTTTTACTGAAACTCTCAGCAGTACAAATTCAGTGAATGTTAATTGAAATTTCTAAAAGGAAACAGGAAGTAAAGTTAAGAGCCAATGGAATGAATATAGGAAAGGAAACACCAGTAGCCATCTCCTTCATCAAAATACCCTGCAATTGTTGACATTTCTAGAATTTGCAGACTCTTTCAGTTATTGAGGGTAAACTCTCTCCATATAGTTTATAGTCCATGAGGTCACTATATTTACACAACAATTAACCTTAAGAATAACAGAGAACTCAAAAAGAATCTGTGTTCCTGGTTTTGCTGGTTCAGCAAACAAGCTTTGGTTTACAAAGGTGTCTCTCTAAAAATAAATCTCTGAATTCCCTCAACCCTCCACTTTCTTTTGCAGGGTAGTCCTTCCCATTGCAAAATTTAAAAATGAAGAATGAGAATAAAGACTGTACAACTTGGAAGGTTTCCCACCAACAGCCCAGTTCCCATTCCATATGAAAATTATTCTAGAAAAGTCATCTTGTCAACATACGGAGCTAAACCTTAACTATTTCATTTCAGTCTAACAATTTTTGACAGATCATGCACAAACTTGTAGCCCATTCTCTAATGCCATTCTGATACAAGCTCATTCATCTATTTCTCATCCTCTCTGGAGAGAGAAGGTCCACTGTTGGGTTTTACGTCATTCTGATGATTTTTACAGTTTTACTTTGGAGCTGCTAAAAGGTATTGATCAGAACTTACCTGAAAATCCAACTCCTAAGCATTGATAAACACTGAGGGAACAATTCCAAGCCAACACCAAGATTCAAAATATCTTCAATTTGTAGTATAGAAATGCCACTCGTCCCAATGAAAGAAAATAATGTTCCTACTCCATCAAATTAAAACCCAAAATACAGCAGCTTTCATTCTGAACAAAATTCAATTTTCTGGGTCACTTTCCCCACCTCTCTGGGCCACTTTTTATGCAGCCTAACAATGACTGTAAACAGGGTCTCTACACATAATCAATTTACTTGACATCCTCTCAGAGCCAAGAATACCTACCTTTTCCTTTCCTAAGGCAGGTCCCAAATAACAGAACTCACCACCCGCCCCTGCCTTCCACACCTCACCACGGAGACTC